GCCCAGAGGACAGCTCAGTCACATCCAGAGGTTCCAGAGAAAAGGGGCCTTACAGCAAACACCTTCAGGCTGTTGAAGCTGAAAAGGGTAAAGACAAAAAGCTGGTGAGTGTTATCAACTCACTTTTTTTATAATGGAAATATTTAGCTTTATTGAGAGTTTAAGAATGGAGAGGGTCATCACATTGTTGATGGGTCAGTCTGAGAAGTTTCAGTTTTTAATTGATTGGAGACGAACTGCTTAAAAAAAAATGGAAGTGTCTCCATGTGGTCCTTACCTGCCTAAATAAGATAAATACCCTTCAATTTCAGAACCTTAGCTTCTCCAATTTAGTAGCAGGGTTTTTCTGTCTTTAACTGCCTCGCTGTAGCTATCCATAAAGACATTGTTGAAATCGGATATTGCAAGCCCAATTGTTTCCTTATAAAATGGTACAGATTTGCACAAGGTAACAGACCAGAAGTTGAAGCTTAAATCTGTCTATATCATAGAGGAACTGTGCCAAGATGCTCAACCTAGATCGCACGACAGCAACAATAACTTCAGATGAAATACATCTAAACCAAAGTACGTATCCAAACATGACCTCTGAGGCTCAGTTTCCTTTTAACCTCAGTAATATCAACTTTTTAAAGTGCTTCCATGGGAAGAGTTATAACCAATGACATCACAGCTGGAAGCTTATGGAAGTTTTAATATAGACTAACATAAGTGGCACAAGCACATCTAAAAGCTGACCCAACTATTGTACAATTACATTTTATGGCCATAGAGGTTACAAGTTCTTCTTCACATTATCAACAAGAGCTGTCAGCCTTCAAAGGGCCTTTCTAAAACAGCTAATAAAAGTTTTATATTAATTATTGTTTGTGATAACAGTAGTATTACTGCAGCACTTAGAAACTACAGTTAGGGATCAACATTTGTGCTTGGAGCTCAAACGCAAAACAAAAACATGAATCTAGCACTGAAGAGTTTACAGATTAAAATTAAGAACAGTGAATTTTCTCAAAAAGCCCAGACTAACCTATTGCCTCTTAGTAGCTGTATGCAGGTATATCCGTGTACATAGTTTGTCAGCAGTACCTTCATTTCCTCATTCCACATACCAATCTATTACTATTGTATTCCATATTTAATTTATGCTGCAAATCTCATACAGCATATTCTGTTATAACAGGCAGGATGATTGACCTTTTAAATTTGCATATTATTTACTCCAACTTTGGTTACAGAAAGTGGTAAGCAACTTAAAATAGATGCAAATTGTTAGAAAAACATTCAAAACTCTGGATGCTTATCTGAAATATATCTCAAAACTTGGCTGGAAAACCCCTGCGAATTGCATTTCTCAAAAAAAAAAAAAAAGGCATTTCCTCTCCTAGGTAGGAGTATGATAACAACAGTCTTTCTTGTGGTATGTTGGAATCTGTATCTATAGCCAGGACAGGGAACCATACTGGCCTTCGGAAACAGAAGAATGAGTTGACCAGTGTTTTTCTACCCTTAGAACAGGTTTGATTTGAATTCTCTTTGAATTGTGGCTAAGGGTCTATCCAAAACAAACCCCCTACTTTGCTTGGCCCTCAGAATTATCATGAATTTCATTGTCTGCACAGATGCAGATGCTGATCTAATTTGTAGCAGCTGCAGAATACTTAATTAAGCATTTTCTGGCCATCTATGGCTGTCTGCCTCTGTATCACATCGTCATGCAGTGCAATATAGACAAATGCTTGAGTGTCACACAATTAACAGGGGGGTACAATCATATTTTTTGTTTTGTGTTGTGGGGTTTTGGGCAAAACACCTGAGAATATCGCAATACCTTAGTCTATTAATTCCATTTTGGGAAAAGTGAGGGAATGCACAGCTTAAAAAATTTCCCCCACCTTCCCCAAAATTAAATGGCATATCTGTTGGAGAGTCTATGTATTCAACTGGGGGCAATCGCATGGGCAACTAAACATCGTAGCAGGAACAAGAAAGGTTTTAACTGATTATAGAACTAATATAACTAGTAACTATAGACTAATAATATAACTTATTATTATAGATTAGTTATAAACATTTCTTATAATGCTAGTACTGAAACTTATTTCTTGGGAGCCTGTCTTTCAGTGGAATCTTCTTTTGAAACGACTAGCAAACAGTGAAGAGGGTTAAGCCTTCTAAAATTGCCTAAATTAACAATGAAAAATAAAGTTTCCCTCTTCTGCATTGAGCCTAGATGTTGTGCAAGATAACAAAAGATAAGTGAAGATGTGTAAAGAAAGGCATTCTTGGTGCTGTGCTTTGCAGTTGGCAAGAACCTACCTGATTCCTTGTATAAATTCAAGCAGCCCTACAGCTACTCTAATTTAGTCTCTGTTTCATCACTGGCCATGTAGAACAAAGAACCACCAGGGCACAGCATGTCTTGTATTATGCTTTTTTGCCTTTTCTCTCCATCCAGTGTGCCACTTATTAGTAACTGAGAAGAACAGTAAAGGTACTATATTTCTCAGATGAATGCTCTTTACCAGTCTAGCAAGACTTTAATCACAGTTGCATTAAATCATATAATGCCTTAGTTTTCTACCAAATGTCGTCTTTTTTAAAGAAATCAAATGTTTCTGAGGCATACGAAGATGCAGAATAATCAGACTGATGAACGGCAGTTCAAGAAAAATGACACAATTTCCCAAATTATTCTTCAAATCCATTCCTGTACTTAGACCCTATTAAGATGGGGAAGTGATTCCAAATCTCCACTCTAAGCTCATATTTGATCTATTTTTAAATTTTTGTATAGGAAAAAAAGCCCATTTAGCTTGAAATTTCACCTAATTAACTTTATGTCAGAAGAGATTTTTGAAGAAAAATTTGAAACTAGTTACTGAACTTTTTAGTTTATCAGAAAAAAGTTTTGTTTGACGATTTCTGTCTAACACCCACAAACTTCAAAATTGTTGATACATTTCTTCCATAAAAGTCTAGACTCACATTTTTTGAGTCCCTAAACCTCAAGGGGTGGGAGGATTAGTAGGTTAAATTCTTCCTTTAGTTGCACTTAAGTAAGCTCATTGACTACAACTGTTGTCCTCTTAAAATATGTGTGTTTGTGTGTATATATATATAAATATATAAATATATAAATATATATATATCTGTATACATTTGGTGGAATGCTGTCATAGGATGATGAGGACATTTAAATACCTTAGGGAGAGACAGTGCCTGGTACAGGCACTGGAGTTCCAGCCGGCATAAAGATTAAGTCTGAGGCAGGAATAGGATCTGGATGACCACTGATGCAGGCCTGAGCTTCCATTTTAGGGTCTCTGCTAAAACTTATCAGAGTGCATTAGATTTCAGCAGACTTCAGTGGGCTTTGGATTTGGTACATGATCTCCACAGCAACCCAGTTTCACACCAGCCATTAAATTCAACATTTCTGTAGTTGCTGACTCCTTCAAATGCAAGTTCAGCCTCATTTTCAACCAGATGACAGACCTGAAGCATTAGTCTATTTCTAAAAAGCATGTGTGTAGCAAACAAAAAGAATGGTTATCACTAGCTCCAGGATCTGATTCTAATATTAGGCTGTGTTGTGATTTACTATTTTTACACTTTGAGGACAATTTTGGTAATATCTAATCTTGTTGTTGAAAGAAAACATATTTACCTATGAAGAAGTTTCCTCCTATCTCTTGTTGTAAAACGGTGTTAAAAAAGAAACAAAACTACAGTAAAGAAATTCTTAGACAAGAATGTCGTGGACAACTTTTTACGAGATATTTAAAGGACAGTATCAACTTGAAAACTACAGTTTCAGAAACTGCCTTTTGTAACAATGAAACACTTCAGATTACTAGAACTGGAACAATTTAGCAAAACAAAACATCCCTCTTTTTACTGTTGAGTTTGTGCATTTGGCAGCCTTTTCCCCTGTACAATCAGTTAGTCTCTTCCCTACAAAGGCCCTTGAAAATAGCATAGGAGCAGGAAAAAAAAAAAAAAGCTTTAAAAGGGGGGGGGCATTAAAAAAAACCCAATCTTTTGAAAGCCTGGAAAGTAACAGATAATGTCCCAGATTAGTCTACCTCTGAGATCTCCATCTAAACCAGAAATACAATTTATTCTATCTTTACAAGCATTGCCAAGTATGTGCTACACCCCCTCCTGCCATAGTCACTCTGCTGCGATGCATGCTAACACACACATTGCCTGCAAACAACAAAAACCCCCCCCGCCATTCCCTTTCCCAGAATAAGCCATCTACCACATTCTGTCACACTCTAGCTGCAGATCAAATAACTTTACCAGCCTCACCCTACTCATTAATGCACATTTTCATATCACACACCTCCCTGTCGACTTCTGTCACTACTGACTCCGTACCATCCCACGTGCTAGGTAGATAGCAATACACTTTACCCAACATGGTCTGAGACACAATTACTCATGTGCAGTATAAAGCCTATTTGCACTGCACAAAATACTAGCTGTAGCCTGTGCTGTACTTCAGTCTCCTAAACAAATGGTCTTATTTATTCCAAAGGTCAGAGAGGTAGACAAAATGTTGTAAAGTCTTCAGAAGACTTTGGAGGGGCCCTACTATGGGTAATCTGGGGGTTAGCAAACGGGACAGTATTATAGGGAAATACAGAGCAGAGTTAAGGTTGCTGATCACTTCCAGATTTTCAGAACCAACCTTTAGCTGGGACTTCCTACCATTTGCTATTCCTGTCCTAGTTGTTTTAAATAGCAGCAGTGTCATGAGGTTTTCCAGAAGTACTCGGTGCTCCTCTCTAATCGCAACCGAATCTGCCCGATTTTTCTGTCTGGGACTACCTTATCTCGCGTTAGCAGGCGTTGAACTTGCACCACCGGGTCGGTAACAACCCCCGGCAACCAGCGGCTTTTAACGCCAACGCGGGCAGGCTCCTGACAGAAGAAGGAGGGGGGCGGGAGGACACGCTAGCGCCCGGCGCCCCTTTTCCCCCGACACGACGTCGGTAACCGCGAAGTGCCCCGCACC